AGTATTGCCAGGACCCACCAGAAGCTATGAGAGAGGCATGGAACAGTTCCTCTCTCAGATCTCTCAGAAAGAATCAACATGGCCGATATCCTTATTGGGACTTCTGGTCTCCAGAATTGATAGGCAATAAATTTATGTTCTTTAAAAGGGAATTTGCAGATGTGACCATGGCCCTTGCAATGGGGAGACTGTCCTGGATTATCTGGGTGGGCCCAAACTAATCACATGAGTTCTTAAAAGCAGATAATCCTTCCTAGTGTGGTCATTCAGAGAGAGAGGTGTGACAGAGAAAGAACCAGAGATGTGGTATTGGCTGGCTTTGAAGATGGAGTAAGGGACCATGGGCCAAGGAATGTCGGTGGCCTCTAGAAGCTGGAAAAGGCAAGGAAATGGATCCTACCTTAGAGCCTCTAGAAGGAATGCAGCCCACTAACACCTTGATATTAGCCCAGTGAGACTGGTGTTAAACTTATGACTTCTAGAATTGTAAGATAATACATTTGTGTAGTGTTAAGCCACTAAGTTTGTGATAGTTTGTTATGGAAGTGATGAGAGGCTCTTAAGTGGGTCCACTGCAATGTAAGCAGCCCTGCCATTGGGATCTGAAGGCCCTTCAAGTACCTGTGGCTGACTGGGATGCTGTATGGGTCCTCTGGTTTTAGAGCAAAGCCATGTCTGCTCTGTACATCACCATTCTCCTGCTCCCTATTGGATCCTCAGGAGACTGAAGCTTGAGCCTAGGAAGCAAATGATCATGGGAGCTGGCTGCCATCATGACCTACATGCTATTGCTTATCTCCTGTCTCCCCATTACCACTAAGACATAGGCTCCACGAGGCAGGATTTGTCATTTGTCCTATTCAGTGATGAATCCTAAATGCTTAGAACAGTGTTTGGCACATTGTGTTGTTGTTAGATGCCATTGAGTCAGTTCTGACTCATAGCAACCCTATGTACAACAGAATGAAACACTGCCTGGTCCTGCACCATCCTCACAATTGTTATGCTTGAGCCCATTGCTGCAGCCACTGTGTCAATCCATCTCGTTGAGGGTCTTCCTCTTTTTCGTTGAACCTCTACTTCACCAAGCACGATCTCCTCCAGGGACTGATCCGTCCTCATAACATGTCCAAAGTATGTGAGACATAGTCTCGCCATCCTTGCTTCTAAGGAGCACTCTGGTTGTACTTCTTCCAAGACAAATTTGTTCATTCTTTTGGCAGTCCATGGTATATTCAATATTCTTTGCCAACACCACAATTCAAAGGTGTCAATTCTTCTTTGGTCTTTTTTACCCATCGTCCAGTTTTCGCATGCCTGTTAGGCGGTTGAAAACTCTACGGCTTGGGTCAGGCACACCTTAGTTTTCAAGGTGAAGTCTTTGCTTTTCAACACTTTGAAGAGGTCTTTTGCAGCAGATTTGCCCAATGCAATGCATCTTTTGATTTTTTGATTGCTGCTACCACAAGTGTTGATTGTGGATCCAAGTAAAATGAAATCCTTGACAACTTCAATCTTTTCTTCGTTTATCATGATGTTGTTTATTGGTCCAGTTGTAAGAATTTTTGTTTTCTTTATGCTGAGGTGTAATCCATACTGAAGGCTGTGGCCTTTGATCTTCATCAGTAAGTGCTGCAAGTCTTCTTTACTTTCAGCAAGCAAGGTTGTATCATCTGCATAATGCAGGCTGTTAATGAGTCTTCCTCCAATCCTGATGCCCCGTTCTTCTTCATAGAGTCCAGCTTCTCAGATTATTTGCTCAGCATACAGATTGAATAGGTATGGTGAAAGGATACAACCCTGACACACACCTTTCCTGACTTTAAACTGTGTAGTATCCCCTAGTTCTGTTCAAACCACTGCCTCTTGATCTATGTACAGGTTCCTCATTAGCACAATTAAGTGTTCAGGAATTCCTATTCTTCGCAATGTTACCCATAATTTATTATGACCCACATAGTTGAATGCCTTCGCATAGTCAATAAAACACAAGTAAACATCTTTCTAGTATTCCCTTCTTTTAGCCAGGATCCATCTGACATCAGCAGTGATATCCCTGGTTCCACATCCTCTCTGAATCTGGCTTGAATTTCTGGCAGTTCCCTGTCGATATACTGCTGCAGCTGCTTTTGAATGATCTTCAGAAAAATTTTACTTGTGTGTGATATAAATGATATTGTTCAATAATTTCCACATTTGGTTGGATCACCTTTGCCGGGAATAGGCATAAATATGGATCTCTTCTGTACTATAGGATCACTATGAGTCGGAATCGACAGCAACAGGTTTGGTTTTTGTTTTGGCACATAGTAGGTTCTCAGTAACTATTTGTTGAATGAATGAGGGAGTAAATGAATTTATCCTAACCACCAAGCCATAAATTCAGGCAGGCCTAACAGCCCTCCATTATCAACTGGAAGAGTATATACGAGACGCCTGGAGGAGGCCCTAAAGGAACAGATAAATTGTGTGAGCAGGTAGCCCGCACTCCCAAAGCACTCACTCCTACTGCACTGTCACCCCTTCCCCCAATCCACACTAGGGCCTCATTGGGAGATCCTGTGATTTGTTGTTAAGGGAAGTGCATTTGAGCCTGGTTTACAGAAGGTTCTGCCTAACATGCTGACTCCAGCAGAAGTGGACTCCTGCAGCATCACAGGCTCATTCAGGGAGGCCCTGAGGACAGTGGGGAAAGGAGTCCTCCCTGTGGACAGAATTGCAAGGGGGTGCATCTGTTTGGTCATGCTGCCTGGAAGGAGAGCTGGCAAAGGTACAGATCTATGGAGACTCAGAGACAGTGGCTGATAGTTTGGCTGGGTAGTCAGAGGCTTGGAAAGAGTGGGCTAGGGGATGCCAGACGTGGTTTAGGGAGGAAATGAGTGTCTGGACTTCTCAAATGGGCCCAGAGTGTGAGGATCTTAGGGTTGATGGCAATGATCACCAAAGAACCCCTCTTAGAGAAGGCTCTCAGGTCAGATGGATAAGATGGCTGGGCTCATAGATGTCTGTCAGCCTCTTTCCCCAGCTGCCCAGGGCTTGACCGATGGGCCATGGTGGCAGAGAAGGAGGCTATGCATGGACTAAACAACAAGGACTTGCCTTCTCCATGGCTGACCAGGCCACTATCACTTCAGAATGGCCAACCAAACAGGAGCAGCAGCAACTCATGCTCAATCCCCATTTTGGCACCATATTCTTGAGGACCTAGATGGCCTTCCATCATGATGGGAGCAGTGATTTGTACTCTTAGGAGTAGCCACTGACTCTGGATATAGCTCTCCCTTCTCTGTCCATGGTATTCCTGCCATCATCACAATTCTCTGAGGGTTAATTGAGTTATTCACCTCAGAGTATTTCACCCAACATGACTTCCAAGCAAGAAAACAATTTTACAGATGAAAGAATTGAGGCAATGGGCAAACACTCACAGAGTCCACTGTTATTACCAAGTACCTCATATGCAGAGCAGCTGGTCTTGCTGATGGAATGGCCTATTTGGGACTCAGTATGTGTGGCAGTCAGTCTCCAAAATGACCTGGAATGATCGCTGCCTCCTTATATTCACACCTGTGAGTGGTCCCCTCCTACACTGTATCTGGGTTAGTCTGTGTGACCAATAGAATATGGCAGAGGAGCTGGTATGTCATTTCTGAGATGACACTGTAGCTTCTGTTTTGGTCTCTCTGTCTCTGTCTTGTTCTCGCTCTTTCTCTCTCTCAGATCCCTCACTCTGGGAAAAGCCAGCTGCCACAGCTGCCATGTTGTAAGCAGCCCTACGAAGAGGCCCCAGTTATGTGTCCCCCTAAAATGTGTATCAACTTGGCTAGCCCATGATTTCCAGTACTGTGTGGTTGTCTACCATTTTGTGATCTGATGTGATTATCCTACGTGCTGTAAATCCTCATCTCTGCCTGTGGTTAATGAAGCAAGATTAGGTTATGTTAAAGAGGATTAGGGTGGGATACAACACCCTTTCTCAGGTCACAGCCCTGATGTGATGTAAGGGGAGTTTCCCTGGGGTGTGGCCTGCATCATCTTTTATCTTACAAGAGATAAAAGAAGAGAGAAGTGAGCAGAAAGATGGGGACCTTCTACCACCAAGAAAGTAGAGCCGGGAGCAGAGCACATCCTTTGGACCTGGGGTCCCTGCACTGAGATACCCCTAGACCAGGGGAAGATTGATGACAAGGACCTTCCCCCAGAACTTACAGAGACAGAAAGCCTTCCCCTGGAGCTGGTGCCCTGAATTCAGACTTCTAGCCTTCCAAACTATGAGAGAATAAATTTCTCTTTGTTAAAGCCATCCACTTGTGGTATTTCTGTTACAGCAGCACTGGATAACTAAGTCAGACCTCGACTCAGGCCGGGCCTCCATCAGGAGAGGGAGGGCTGAGGCCATCATGCAATGGCAGAGGCACCTAACTCGGATCCACAGCCCTGCAGCACATCAAGCTTCTCAGCCTTCTGCCTCCTGGAGGAGGCGGCAGCTCACTCTGTGAGCTACTCATAGAGTTGTGTCATGGCAACCCTATGCGGGTCAGAGGAGAACTGTGCTCCACAGAGTTTTCAGTTTTTCAGAAATAGACCTCCAGGCCTTTCTCCTTAGGCACCTCTGGGTGGACCTGAACCTCCAACCTTATAAGCTGAGCTCATAACTTGTTTGCACCATCCAGGGACTCTTGAGCTATTTATGTGGTTGTTATTAGTGGCTGTCAAGTTGGCTTCAACTCAAGGCAACCTAGAATCATTGGTAGGTTTGAGTCCATTATTGTGGCCACCATGTCAATCTATCTCATTGAGGGTTTCTCTCATTTTTGTTGACCCTCTACTTTACCAAACACGATGTCTCTTTCTAGCAATTGGTCTTTCCTGATGATGTGTCCAAAGTAAGCGAGAGAAAGTCTCTCCATTCTTGCTCTAAGCATTTTGGTTGCAATCCTGACAATCAGCCAGGCACTGAGGTGGCTGGCTGCTCCCACCCTCCCCAACCCTGCACTCACTCGTTCTCCTTCAGAGTAGAGGTGATGTTTGACTCCAGGTCCCTCTCCTTCTCCAGCTCTGTGCACAGGCGGCTACGGGTGGCCTGGAGGCGCCCCACAGCGGCACTGGGAGGGCAAGCAGCAGGGGAAAGAACAGAAGGTGGGAAAACAAGTGAGAACCTACAACCACACAGAGATAGAGCCTGTGGCCAAGGTGCACTCCAGAATCTTTCCCTATGTCTATGCAACGCCTTCACCTAGCTTTCTATTTTTTGCTCAGTGAGAAATCGATCTAAATGATGAAGGGCTACCCTCATGGACTCACTGACGGCCGGCACTGTGGCTCACGGTCTTGGGGTGTCCCACTAGGACGCCGGCCCTTTGTCACCTTAGCTCTGTGCAGGCCTGGTGGGGGGGTCGGGGGGGTGGACAGGCACACCTGCTGAATGACTTGAGGGGCAAAGCGGCTGAAAAGCCTGGAAGGGCCTCCTGGTTCCTAGTGGCCATGACTTCTTTACCTCACCCCCTTCCCTCTAGTGGTTGTGGCTGACCCAGTACATGCAGCCAATCAGCTCCGGTGGTTACAGTCTGAGACAGACCTATCCACAGAGAAGGGTAAGCGGGCAACGCCTCCTCTCTGTACCTGCCAGCATCCTAGTACCCAGTACCCGGTTCTGCTGGGAAAGCAGGAAGGCAGGACCTTTTCTATGACACCCAAGGGAGCTGCTCAGGGTGTCCGGCTTTCCACCATGACCAGAGGGCCCGCTGTGTGTGGACAAGGACAGTGCTGGAAAGAGGGAACTGAGCAGCAGGCTTGGTCCTAACAATCTGGCAGACACCTGGCCCGCGGGACCGCCCTGCAGAGGGCACTGGTCCCTCCATGCCAGGCATTGCCCAGGTGCCAGGACCCTGTCACAGTATGGGCTGCAGGCTCACCAGGCCCAGGGCCTCCATGAACTGCCCCATCCACCTGGTCTGTTCTGTGGCCCTCAGGCCCCTCCACCCGCTAGAGCCAGGGTGCTGGTGTCTGCCCGCCCCCAGTCATCGAACCTTCTCTCTCCTGCAGCACAGGGCCAGTTACAGGCCAGTGCCCTGGGGTTCAGAGTACCAAGAGTAAGACCTCCTTGCCCCCTGTGAGCAGGTGACTGTATCTGAGTTTCCTCATCTCTACAACATTGCCTACCCCGGAGGGTTGCTGTGAGGGTCACACGAGCTGAGGCACATTTAGCTCTCCTGCCCGTAGTGACATTCAGTGCATGTCATGAGCGTGGGCGACTCACCAATCAACACCCTGCCCTGCCCTCCCCTCCAGCTGAGCCCAGGCTTGGAATGTCACATCCTGGCAAACACCACCCACCCTGCTGCTCAAGATAAAAGGCAGTTCTGATGCTTTCTTTCCTTAACCTAAACCCACCTGGGATCTGTCCACCTGCTTGACTCAACACCCCCCCAACCCTGCCCACCACACCTGTCTCCCCCACCACGCCAGTTCATTGCACTTGGCCCTGCCCCCTCCCCTCCCCTCGCCTGCTCCACACTGTCCACCTCACCCTGCCCAGCCTGGCCCACAATACCTGCCCCACCCTGCCCACCGAGGTCTGCCCCCTACCACACCTGTCCCTGCCCTACCCACCGAGGCCCACCCTGCCCACCACACCTGCCTCCATCCTGCCCACCACACCTGGCCCTGTGTGGAGCCCCATGGCAGCTGCACTCCCCCCACTCACTGGGGCCATGTCCTGCCCTGGCCTTTGCGCATGCCTTCTCACCACTCAGGATGCTCCTTCCCCAGGTAACCACACAGCAAGTTTATTCTTGTCACTCAGTTCCCACCTAGAGTCATCTTCTCAGGTGGCCACCTTCCCTGGCTACCTGCCTCCAGAGTGACCACTCTTCATTTCATTACCTGGTTTGATTTTCATGCACTGGCATGAGGTTTGTCTGCCTTCCTGCCTGCCTGAATACAGTAGGTGCTTCATAAACAATCTGTGGACAGCGGATGATGTTCTGCTGCCCTATGCTTATGAGCCAAATGACAAACACTGGCTTGGTGCCCAGTCACCCCCTAGTTCCCGGCAGAGATGCACCACCCACCGGCCCACCGGGAGGGAGACCGGACAGCCAGCTGGACGCCAAGACCTACATGTTGTTGGCCTCTTTCTGCTGAGCGATTTCCGCTGCCACGACTGCCTGCTGTCTGGTGACGAGCTCGATCCTCTGGCGGCAAGCACGAAGCTCCCCTCTGGAAATTGGGGCAAGAATCTGGATGAATGGCTCTTGCAGTTCAGTCATTGCTCCCCTTCCCAGGAGGCTGCACTGCACCGGGCCTCAAGGAAGGCGTGGTGGGTGGAGTGGGCCGGGGCCAGGCACGCTCACGAACCTCGATGTCTTTCCTCCTCCCCCATCCAGGGCAGTCACACAGTTTTCCCAGCGGTCTCCCTAACTCGCTGGAGCTACAAGAGCAGTGTTCTGTTCATCTGTTTTTCTGGAAACCTGCTGAGGGCAGCACAAGTGTGACCTCCTCCCCTAGGTGGACATGCTCTTAGGAGGCGAGGACAAGGCCAGAAATGGGGAGTTTACTTGAATCAGCATAAGTGAGACATCTCTGCAACCAGAGCGCCCTGGTGAGGGTGTGGGAGAGCCACAGAGGCCATGGGCCACAGCTCCTCGGCAGCATTCTAGAATTGCAGACCAGGGAAGACAATCAGCCTCAACCACGTGGACGTGGACCGATAAACCAGCTCAAACCTTTGCTCTAAAAGGCATATGGGGTCACTCAGGGTGACTCTGCTATGACACTGCTATAGGATGACATTAAACAAAGAAAAAAAACTGGCCTTCGAGTTGACTGTAACTTGTGGTGACCCTGTGTGTGTCACAGTAGAACTATGCTCCAAAGAGTTTTTTCAGTGGCTGATTTTTTGGAAGTAGATTGCCAGACCTTTCTTCCGAGGCATCTCTGGGTGAACTCAAACCTCCAACCTTTCACTTAGCAGCTGAGCACATGCACTATTTGTGCCACCCAGGGTCTCCAGGATGATATTAGAGAAATATTATTAGTGTTCTTAAGTCAACAGTGGTGCTGAGGTTATGAAGAATGTCCTTATTTTTAGGAGACGTTGAAGTATTTAGGAGGAGTAAAGTATCATGATGTCTGCAACTTGCTTTCAAATAAATCAGCAAAAAAAAAAAAAAAAAAAAAAAAAAAAAAAAAAAAAACCAACCTATGTCATACACGCACACATACACAGAAAGAAATTACAGCAAAATGCTAACAACGGTTCCAGGCGGTGGCATCCTGGTGATGGCCGTGCTATTTGTTTTCTACTTTTCTGCATGTTTGACATTCTCCTCAGTCAGCGTTTGGGAGAATCTTCTCTCGGGGGCGGTTCTAATCAAGGTGGGTGGGGAATGCAGCAGGGCCCTCCAACCTGAGCACGAACACCACACAGGCACCAGTGTGGTCCTAACATTGCACCCCTGGGTCCTGCCTGGAGCACCATGGGCAGTGCTGATGCCAGGAGCCCACCTGTCATCCTGGGCCTGGCAGGACCTGAGAGCACACTCTGGGGAGAGCATGGGAGCAGTTCTCCCAAAGCGTTATGGGACCAGAGGAGGAGCAAAGGGGGCTGACAACCCTGGACGCCCGCCACCTGCTGCGTGGGATTTGCTGAGCCTTCTTAGAGGCAGAGACCCACAGAAGGGCAGGAGAACCCCCAGAAGGACTCTCAGTCCTGACCGTGTTACAGCAAAGCCACATGCCAAGGGGAGCGGGCAGCCCGGTCTCCAGCCCCCTGTACACAGTGAGCAGACAACCCAGATGTCGGGGTCAGGGGGACCTGGCCCCGGGCAGCCTGGAGAACGTAGAGGACAACCACCTGCTGGGCCTGGTGAGGCAGCTCAGAGCTTGCTCACCGACTGGTGCTCACCTCGTTTTCTGAATGAAAAGATCTTTCTCTTCACGCACCATATCGAGGCGGTTCAGGTCCCTTCTCAGGTGCAGAGCCTGAGTTCTGTCTCTGTCGGCTGTTTTCGTCTTTGTTTTCTCAGCATCAGTATTTTGTTCTTCCTCTGGACTTAAAGAAGGACACCAGATGCCATTCGCACCCACCAGGCCCTCGTCCTTCTCCTGGGGCCTGACCCGGCTCACCCCTCGCTCGCCCCTTTTCTGTGGGAGGTGGAGGTGGGTGAAAGGGAGCAGGCTGCAGCCTGGGTTGATTACCAGCAGCATTCCAGTGCAGCATCGCTCTCTGCTTCCTGAGGAACAGCTTCAATCTCAAACTCTGGTTCTTTTAATCTACCTATGTCTAGAAATCAAGACAAGAGTTAGAATAACAGAAAGTAGGTCTAGATGTTCAGTCTAAAGTGCTAGGATCAATTCTTGTGGTGAAATGAGTTCCTTTATGTGGCCTTTTGCCTTGGTTCTTTGGAAAAACAACTTGAGAGATTTTTCCCCTAAACCCTGAGGAGTTACCTTTGCCCTAGTTTTCTACCCCAGAGGGTTTGTTACTTTTGTCCAGGCTGATTCACATTTCCTGGGTAAGCTGTACACAATTTTGTTTTGATACCTTTTGTCTGGTTCTGCAGCCTAACCTGTGACTGGTATGCACCTTGCAGGGATTGGTCAATGGACTATGCAAATGGAGTGAGTTGTAGCCTACTATGCAAATGAGGTATCTGTGGCCTACTGAGAGGGGATTGGTCCATTTGTGGCCCCCCTGCTGGGAGAGGCCAGGCCTTGAAATTGACAAGGAGTTGTGTATATAAGCAGCCAACTCCACAGAGGTTTTTTGAGACAAACAGGAAGAGAAGAAACAGGAAGAAGCAGAAGGAAGAAAAGAGAGAGAAGCAGAGAGAGAGAGGATGCAAGGAACCTCCTAAAAGAGCTGTAACATGGGCCAAGGGCTGTAACACTGAAGATAGTGACAGGCCTGGATGGGGCCTAGCAGCACAGCCAGTGGTGACAGGCCCAGAAGGAGCCCCAGCAGCAGAGTCAGTAGTGACAGCATGGCCAAGAGGGGCCTGCCCCAAGGGGGGTGAGAGGAGGCCTGTCTTCAGGGGGTCAAGAGGAGGCCTTCATGGTTGACAGGAACTGGGAGAGCTGTCCTGCACTGAAGAAGGGAGATTTTGCCTGCTTCCTGATCCTGCGTTGTAGCCTGTTGATCCTGATCCCGTGTACCCTGTTCCTTAATAAACCACTTAACTGTAAGTATGGTCTGTAAGTTCTGTGTGGCCATTGCAATGGATTATCAAACACAGAAAAGAAGTAGAAAGTGCCGTGGGAGGGATGACTGGTGTCAGAATCAGTAAAAAGGTTGGAAAGTAGAGATATGTCTGACCTCTGCCTCACAGGGATCAGCCTTGGGCTGATCTTGATTCATATTATCCCCTTTGAAGTTAGACAGGCTCTGATGCTACTACTACTAACCAAAAAAACCCCAAACCTGTTGCTGTCCAGTCGATTCTGATTTATAGCAACCCTATAGCCCCATTTTATAATCCTGACAAGCTCAAACTGGGCAGCAATGATGGCAACCACTTCTCAGAGCAACAGTTCTCAAAGTGTGGTCCAGGGAACCCCAGGGTGTGGGGGGGCATCCCTTAGATGCTCTCGGGGACCTATGGAGTCAAAACTGTTTTCGTGATAATACTGACACATCATTTGCTCTCTTCATTCTCATTCTCTTGCAAATGTACATGTAGTTTTCCAGAGGCCACCTGGCATGTGATATCAAAACAGGCCAAATGCAGACACAAATAGGAGAATCCTGCCATTGTCTATTAAAGCAGACAGTAAAGAAATACTGCTGTTCTGCTCACTAAATTTTTTTGGTTTGGGAAGATATGGCTATTTTTCATTAAAAATGTAGTGTTAATATTACATGTAATGGGTTCATTATTGTTATTTTAAAAGAATAAGTAAATATTTTCTAAAAATTTCAGGTCTAATTCCTAATACAATAAATGTAGGCAGATTTAACCCACATAGCAAAAGCTCTTTGGGGTCCTCAATAATTTTTACGAGCGTAAAGGAGTCTTCAGACCAAACAGTTTGAGAATCGCTGCCGTCAAGCAGACTTCCGGCAAAGCATGGCAAGTTGAACCATATTGAGTTTATCTCTGCTCCCTCATGAGAGCTCAGTAAAAATGACTGAAAAGGAATCTTAAAAAGCATATAAATCTCCAATGACAAGGAGAACAGAAGAGGGAAGACGGGGATGAGAGAAGCCAACAAAAGTTTAGAAGAGGGAGAGCTCATGGACAAGCAGCAACTGATTTAACATGCCACAAAAGCTGAAAGATGAGCTTGGACGGGGGCAGCAGGGAGCAGGGAAATGAGTTTCCAGATTGGAATGGCCCACCCCAGTGCCTAGCATGTGATCCAAATCCATGCACATCTTTAAAAATTCAGACCATCAGAGATTTTGTTTCTAAAAATCCAAAAGCTTCCATGAAAAGAAAAAACAAATAGGTCACAGCTAAAGGATTAGGATAAAAATGGCATCAGACTTCTCAGGAGGGACACTCAGCAGGAAACTAGAAAACTATCGTCTGCCGCTTTCAAAATTCTCAGCCACAATTTATCTTTCACTCAAGTAAAGACAGACTAATATAAGCTCCCTCTCAGAGAAAAAAAACATGAAGTTAAAAAAAGTAGTCTCCTTGCAAGAAGGGAACTAAAGGGCAACTATGAAGTATGTCATTTGTCTTCTTCCTTGTTGCTGAAACTTATTTATGAGAGAACCTTCACAATAGTGGTCCAAAATCAGGCCATCATCCATCTCCTCCTCAGGGAACAGGCTTACATCGTCTTCCATTCTGGGATGCAGAAATTAGCTACAAACAAACAAAGAAACAAATTTCATTCTCTCCACTACGTAGCTTCTGAAGAATTATAAAATACAGTTAAACTAGACCACAGCTTTAAAAGAGAGAAAAAACAAACAAACAAACAAAAACCCTGCAAATTGGAGCTCTTAATAATTAAAAACTTCTTTTATAAAAAGATATTAAGAAAATAAACCACAAACTAGGAAAAAAATATTTGTAGCACAGATATCTGACAAAGGTCTTGTATCCAGAATATATAAAGAACTCCTAAAAAATCAACAATAAACTTCAAAAACCCAATTTAAAGGAGTAAAAGATTTAGAGCAGGCATGACAAAAGAAGATGTACAAATGGCCAACAAGCATGTAACATTGTTAGTCACCAGGGAAATGCAAACTAAAACCACAATGAACTACTACACATCTATTAGAATGTCTAAAATAAAAAAGACTGATAACACTAAATGTTGGCAAGAGTGTAGAATGATTGGAACTCTCACACATTGCTGGTAGGGAGTGTAAATGGTACTTTGGAAAACTGTTGGGCAGTTTCTTATAAAGTTATAGTTACCATATATCTTAGTTATCTAGTGCTGCTATAACAGAAATACCTCAAATGAATGGCTTTAACAAATAGACATTTATTTTCTCACAGTTTAGGAGGCTGGAAGTCTGAATTCAGGGTGCCAGCTCTAAGGGAAGGTTTTCTCTGTCGGCTCTGGAGGAAGTCCTTGTCTCTTTGAGATTCTGCTCCTGGGCGATCTTCATGTGGCCTGGCATCCCTCTTCTCCCATCTCTGCCAGCTAGCTTGCTTGTTTAATCTCTTTTATATCTCAAAAAAGATGTACTCAAAATACACCCTAATCCTTCCTCATTAACATAACAAAGACAACCCATTCCTAAATGGGATTATAACCATAGGCATGGAGGTTAGGAATTACAACACATATTTTTGGGGAACACAATTCAATCTACAACATCCCACCCTTTGGCCCCCCAAAATTCATGTCCTTCCCACATGCAAAACACATTTAATCAATCACATCATCCCAAAAGTCTTAAATCAACTCCAAGTCCAAAATATCAACTTCTGAATCATCTAAATCAAATATGGGTGAGACTTTAGACATATTCCATACTGGGGCAAAATTCCTCCTCATTTGTGAACCTGTGAAATCTAGATTACAAGTTATCTGTTTCCAAAGTACAAGGTGGAACAGGCACAAAGTTGACATTTCCATTACAAATGGGAGAAATTGGAGGGAAAGAAGGGATAATGGGCACCAAGCAAGTCCAAAACCCAGCAGAAAAATTTCTGTTAGCTCTTAAAGCTTGAAAATAATCCTCTGTTCTCTGAGACCACCTGTGCAATGGCCCCACCCTCCAGACTCTGGGTGTTGGCCATGCCCTCTGGATTCTGGGTGGGGGCCCCACAGCCCCAGGCTTCAGTTCTGCCTTCCAGGCCCACTGGGATGGCAACTCTGCTCTCTTGGCTTTGGGTAGCTCCATTCTCCATTCTAGTCCATCTGAGTGGTGACCCCAGCCCCTCGGCCCCAGCAGGCCCCATTCTTTTGCCCCTTAGGCATGGCAGCCCTGCCCTATCCTCTTGGAGAAACTGAATGGCAGCTCCACGCTTGGGAACTGAGTTGGTGAAGATCCAACTCTTTGAAACCTAGGAGGCCATGGCTCTACCCTTTGACACTCCAGAGACCATGGCCCCACGCTTTGAGACCGAGGCAGCTCTGCTTCCCATGCTCCTTCCAATGGTTGCTGATCTCCGAGCTGCTCCAGGGATGGTTCTTTTCTTTTCTTGGAGGACAACAAATATAGCTCCTTTGGCCTGTTTCCTGCCTGTAGAATTCCAAGAGGCAGACAGTGTTCTCTCCTTTCTTTCTTTCTCTGTCCCCTTCGGTCTAAGCTGATGGGTTTTCTGCTCTGGTAGTTGGTTAGATCCATCAGTTATAGGCTTAATCTCTTTATCAGAAGATTGTGTAGCCACATCCTTGGTGAAAATTCTAGAACATGTGTCCTTAGTTTTTACAACAGAATTTTAAGTTTTGTTTTCATTTTGCACATTTCATTTTTAAGTCCATCTCTTTCCTCTTGCATTTTGCGATAAGCAGCAAGGAGAAACCACGCAGCCCCTTTAAGATCTTGCTTAGAAATCTCCTCAGCCAGATATCCACCAAACATTTGAACATAATTTAGACAAGCTCTTTGCCACTGCATAAAAAGCATCACCCTTCCTCCCTTGTCGAATCACATGTTCATCATTTTCTTTTAGAGCCTCACCATTTAATGTCCACATTTCTAGCAACATTCTGTTGCTGGCACCATATGTATTCTCTAAGATGATGAAGACTTTCTCTACAGCTCTCTTCACTTCCTTCTGAGCCCTGACCAGAATTGCCTTTGACATCCATAATTCTACCAACAGTTTCTTCAAGGCAATCTAGGCTTTTACTATTAAGCATCGTAAAACTTTTCCAGCCTCCACCCATTATCCAATTACAAAACCACTTTCACGTTGTAGGTATCTGTTCGAGCAGCATACCACTCCTGGTACCAAATTCTGTCACAGTTATCCAGTGCTGTGATAACAGAAATACCACAAGTATGTGGCTTTGCAAAACATAAATTTATTTTCTCACAGTTTAGGAGGCCAGAAGTCTGAATTCAGAGTGCCAGCTTTAGGGAAGCCTTTCTCACTCTGTCGGCTCTGGAGGAAGGTCCTTGTCTCTGAGATTCTGCTCCTGGGTTATCTTCATGTGGCCTGGCATCTCACTTCTCCCATCTCTTGCTTGTTTAATCTCTTTTACATCTCAAAAGAGACTGACTCAAGACACACCCTGTGTTAATCCTGCCTCATTAATATAACAAAGACAACCCATTCCCAAGTAGGATTATAACCACAGGCATAGAGGTTAGGAAGGAATTACAAAACATATTTTTGGGGCGTACAATTCAATCCATAACACAACTCAGCAACCCCACTCCAAGGTATTTACCCAAGAGAAACAAAAATACATCCACACACACACAAGTTTGAACAAGAATGTTTATAGTGGCCTTAATAATATCCCCAAACTGGAAACAACCCAAAGGACCATAAATATAAGAATGGATAAACAAACTGTGGTGTATTATCCATGCAGTGGAATAATACTCAACACTAAAAAAGAATGAAATACTGATATATACAACATAGATGAAACTTTAAAATATTATGTTAAGTGCAGTAAGCCAGACACAAAAGGGTACATATGAAACCCAAAAATAGGAAAAACGAATGGATGGTGGTAGAAATCAGATAGTGGATTCTGGGCTGGACGCGGAAAGAGGGGAGTAACAACTATGAGGGAACTTGTTGGAGGATGGAAATGTTGTGTAGCTTGTTTGGGATGGTGGTTACACTGGTGTCAAAACTCAGAGTTGAACATGTAAGATTTGTACATTTTATTGTATGTTAATGTTATCTCAATTAAACACACACACAGAGCCAAGGTTCAAACACAGTTCTTGAAGAATTTCAGAGTTCATTACACTACAGTTATCATTTTGGGAGTATTAGGAGATTGCCTGTGTAGAACTCTTGATGTGGAATCTTATGTGTCCACGTTAAAATCAAAGACTTTCAGATAAAGAAACAATGTTAAAAACAGGAGCTCTTTAGTATCATAATTTTTCTTTTGTGAAAAATAAATTTAATGTCTGACTTCCATTTATTTTCTATTGTACCTCAAAGATGTGATTGGTTTTAATGCATAGTAATCATATTTTGCTTGTACTATAATTAACATACAATAGAGTTCATGTTAAATGCTTATGAGCTAATGTATGTATCACAGAATATATGGTATATATTTTATGATGTAAATGTACACTATGTCACATTAATGAGTAATTCCAGTTGAAATGCATATAAATATTGACCTTACTCAAACCAACTGTGTTGCCGTCCAGTCAATTCCAACTCATAGCTACCCTATAGGATAGAGCAGAAGTGTCCCACAGGGTTTTCAAAGAGCAGCTAGTGGATTCGAACTGCTGACCTTTTGGTTAGCAGCCGTAGCTCTTAACCACTGTGCCACCAAGGCTCCAAGTATTAACATTAGGTACAAAATATTAAAATTGTAGAAAAGGAGTTTGTTTTTCATTGCTTAATTTACAGCAATCGCCTCAGAATAAGTCACCGAAAATTATTTTCAATGCCTGATAATATTTCCTGGGTAAATTATTAATACATCAGTGTCAGCAATTTATCTTTTTTAAAAGCTACAAAGAAACAATTATGCGTTAAAGTCTTGTTGTTGTTGTTAGTTGCCATCAAGTCGGTGACCACATGTACAACAGAATGAAACATTGCCCAGTCCTGTGCCATTGTCACAATTGCTGGTCTGCTCGAGTCCAGTGTTGCAGCCACTGTGTATCTGAGTAACTTCCAACCTAGTATGCTCATCTTCCAGCATTATACTAGACAATGTCCTGTTGTGATCAATAGATTTTTCATCAACTAATTTTTGGAAGTAGATTGCCAGGCTTTTCTTCCTAGTCTGTCTTAGTCTGGAAGATTCATTGAAACCTGTCCACCATGGGTGACCCTGCTGGTATTTGAAATACTGCTGACATAACTTTCAGCATCATAGCAACATGCAAGCCACCACAGTACCACAAACTGACAATGAATGAGTGGTGGATTAAAGTCCTAGGGGGCAGAACTCTAAGGCATCTTGTCAAATACCAACAATAATCCTCCCACTGAAAGAACTGATTACTCTACTAGTCTGTGAATGGCAGGGCTTTCAGAAGATATTTACAAGGTAATCAAACTTGCTCTGCTCTGTGCTAGTGAATTCCACGAGCCCAGCACAACCCAGTGGAAGCCTCAGTGAATGGCAGTCTTATCAAGGGTGGAACATTACACATACACGGTTTCATTTAAAATGATTACATTAACCATATACACTTTGGACTTATAGTTAAAGATGGCAGTTCAACCCAGGCCTTGACTTCTCTTTTTTAATACATAAATCTGCATGGACAAGGCAAGTGGGGGAAGAAATGGTAAGCACAAAACAGAAGGT